CAAGTTAAACATAGCAATAACTACATCTCTGAACGTGAAGGACTGGTTGTACCAGGATGACATACTTCCCCTCTCTGTGGCTGACTCTGGTGATTTGGACACTGTTTTCCAGCCCAATGAGGGAGATGGGCTGGGAGTGTTCTACAAAACCCAGCCAGGCCTGGGTCCCACCTCTCACCTGTCCCATAGGTGAGGAGCCTGATTGCAAGGATATCACTGCCAGGCTGCAGTATGTCAAAGTGGGAAGCTGTAAGTCCGAAGAGGAAGTGGACATTCACTACTGCCAGGTAAGGGCCCCTGACTTCAATGAGGCCTCCATGGGGAGGGGAGTCTCCTTATTTGGGAGATATCTCCTTAGTTATATTTCAGAAGGATCTGGAAAATTCACAGGGAGGAGAACTGAAAAGAACTGTAAGCATTTAAAAAATATTTTTGTATTTGTATTGATTTCAGACAGAAAGGGAGAGGGAAAGAGAAATAGAAACACCAATGATAAGAGATAATCACTGATATGCTGCCTCCTGCACAACCCCTACTGAGGATCTAGCCTACAACCTGGACACGTGCCCTGACCAGAAATTGAATTGTGACCAGGTCCTGGTTAATAAGTCGACGCTCAACTACTGAGCCATGCTGGCTGGCTAGAATTGGAAGCATTTTATGTGAAATCAAATGTTTTATTGAAGTAACAGGGAACTTTGACCCCAGAGGGAAGATTCAACAAGTCCTTCAAAGAGAATAGGAAATTACTTATGGAAGTGGGGTTGGGGTTATTGTATCAAACATGCATAGAAATTGCAGCTAGAGGGATCTGGGTGTGACGACACCATAGGGACAGAGGGGATCTCAGAGGACTTCCCTGAGACCTACCTTTACAAATTGCCCCACTGTCCTGGGTTTTCTGGGGGAGGCCAGGCCTGCCTTACTTGGAGGAGGGCAGGTAGGGGAAGCAGGCTGCCTCTGAGTCCTGCGCAACCCAGGCTTCTCCACCATCACTATGTCCTGTCCCTCTCTGTCCCACTTCAGGGTAAATGTGCCAGCAAAGCACTGTACTCCATCGAAACGGAGGATGTGCAGGACCAGTGCTCCTGCTGCTCCCCCACGCGGACAGAGCCCATGCAGGTGCCCCTGCGCTGCACCAACGGCTCTATTGTCTACCATGAGGTCCTCAATGCCATGCAGTGCAGGTGCTCCCCCAGGAAGTGCACCAAGTGAGGCCCCTGCCATGGACACCCGATGCCACCTGCCTTTCCCAACCAGCCAGAGTGCTGCCCGGTCCCCTGTATCCTCTGCTCTCATGCCCTCCAGGGCCCACAATAAAAGCCGATCTCTCATCTTGCAAAAGGCTAATGCAGTGGTTCATTGTGTCCTCCAGGGGGACCTGACAACTGTAGGCTGGGCGAGTTCTGAGACTGGTTCTGAAGGAGGAAACTCAGTTTCCACCTGAAAACACTGTAGCCTTAGAGTCTGCGGGAAGCACTGTCAACCTGGGAAAAAGTGGTGCCTTTGCCTCCATGCAGTGCAGAGAGGAGAGGAGAGTGTGAGGCGGGCCTCCTCAGAAGCTCAGCCCAATGGCTTGAAGTAAAAGGGATTTGCTCAGGAACACTGAGCTCTCCAGTCTCTGAATCCTGGAACTTTGAGCAGAGCAGAGGGGTGAGCCCTGGAGCTGCTGCTAAGATAGACATGGCTATCGCCAGCATGGCTGGCATTCTAGAGAAGGGTTGTGGCCAGGTGTGCAAGGGTTTCTCTGAGCTAAGTTCTTGAATCTTCTCTGTGGTACACGTGGAAAGGAAAGGTGCTGAGATGGAGGGGGTTGCTGATGGGGTGCTGGCAGATACTGGAACATGATTCCATCCCCACAGGTCACGATGGGTAGTGAGCACCAGATCTTAGGTTCCACATAAGGCCCCTACTCTCCTGTGTGGCTTCAAATAAGCCCATTAGTGGTTCTCAGATGTAACTTCCTCATCTGGGAAACAGGAAGTGAATCTTACTTGTAGGGATGGAAGGATAAGTCTGGGATAACTGTAATTGCCCTATAATAATATAAGAATAAAAATAGCGACATCAAGGCTCAAAAGGAGAAGCGTTTCTATCACCAGTATCAGAGCACAGGGCATTTTCTTTGTACTGAGGGGCGAGGAACTGCTCTTCTTTCAGGCCACATATTGGTTGCCAAAGCCCTGCCTGCTCCAGGCATCCTCTTGGAAGGAAAAGAGGTGCAGATAACACCAAACTTCATCCCATAGAGTCCCAGATCCCTAAGTGAGTGGTCTTTCCTTAAAATTTATGAGAAAAGTGTACATGTATATGCTAGCAAGATGATGGAAACTAGTGAGTATTTTCTCCATGAGACAAAGGGAAGATCTAGATTTGCGATAGGAATTTGATGGAGAATGAATCTTCCTTCCAGATCCTTTTAACCCAAGAAAGACTCAACTCATTGAAAGAATGATGGAGCTGGAAAGGATTTAGACATTATCTAACCTCCTGCCTCTTTACTGAGGATGAAAGCAGCTCAAAGAACTCCGGTGACTTGCTGAAGATCACGCAGCTGGGTGGCAGGGCCAGTTGAGAACTCAGGTTCCTTGACCTGTAGGCAAGAACTCCAGGGCATCCCATCCCGCTACTTACAAATTCAGCCCATACTATGGGAACCAGTGACTGCTGCATTTCTAGGTCTCAACCATTTCCATTACTTCTGGGGACCAATCTCAAGGGAATATACACTACAAGTAAATGGCCCAGATTGTGTTAAACAGGTTTGGTGGGGAGTTAAGTAGAGTACATGGAAGGAAACATGGATAGACGTTTTATATAACTGTTCAATAATTCAAAGGTTGTCATCTCTCTATCCATCATCCTGCCTCCAACCCTGAGCAGCCTCTAAGGTCTCTTTAGGAAACCAGATCCAGTGCAAAGCATCACCTGTCTCTCTCCTGACCGATCGCCTAACACTGCACCTGGGGATGAGGTGTTATTGGAGGCATCAGCCTCTACTGAGAGACTCAGCTGAGAGGCTGCCTATTTAGCAGAAGGTGTAAATTTTCCAACTTCCTGACCCATCAGAGCACGAATTTCTCCTCCTACTTACTGATATGATAATTCACGATCAATAAGAACAAACAAACAAACAACTGAATCAGAAAGTTTGCATATTTTGATTTAAGAAAAAAAAAGGGGGGAGCAGTATAAAAAGGATGCAGAAAGGGAAACTGGTGGAGGTAGTGGGGGTGTCTCACAACCTCTCTTACTCTGCAGGTGAGATCTCTTTAAGGAGAGGGTCTGCCTCTGGTCTCAGGGACTGTTTTTTGTTCATCCTCCTCCGACCAGAGGAGACAGTCCCTCCAAGTCAGAGTCTTAGGGATGTGTCAAGGAGAGAGTGTTCAGAGACTAGGGGGTAAGAAAGTGCTGAAGGGAGAGAAGAAAGAGAATAAATGAACTATGGTGCAAAGTTTCCAACTTGTCCTGGTGTTGAAAAGACAAGGACAAGGTCCCTGGAAGCGAATGGGAATGGGGCACTGTTTGGGAGAGAAAGAAGCTGAACAGCAAAGTGTTTTGAGCACAGACTCTGGAGCAGGCTGCCTACTTTGGGATCCCACATGCCCTTAGAGGTAAGTTGCTTGACCTTTTTTTATACCCCTGTCTTACTCATCCATAAGATGGGTATACTAGCAGTAATTACCTCACAGAATTGTTGTTGGAAGGAAAGTTACTACTGTGGGTTAAAAGGTGCCCGAGGGAGAGGAAGTCCTGTATAATAAACATTGGCCACGATTACTCCTAGAGAGCAGAAGAAAGCCATGGATCCGGACATAAATCCTCCGGGTTTCCCTTTGCTCTGCCCCTGGCTCACTCTGCGTGGTCTGCTCCCCTTTACTGCTACAGGCTCCTCATATATAGAGCGGGGAGATAACATTCTTCACACTGAAAGGTCATGGTCATAAATAGCACACTCAGCTTCCACATCGTACTTTTTCATTTCCAGGGCCCTATGTATTCAGGAACTTGTTGAGCCCCAGGACGCTTGTAATTGTAGATTCCATCTTCCAGAACAGAATAATATATATAAGAAAAAATGGCTTTAAAAATAACAATAATTAGTTTTAAAATATTGTAGTAGGTTATCTGGAAGAGAGGGTTTTTCCTTTTTTTTTTTTTTTTTTTTTTTTTTTTTTGCTTAATGAAGATGCTCACATGGTGTCGGACAGTTTATTGCTGGAAACCAGGTTGTTGTCTAGAAGTGGAGACACGCATGGCCTTGAATTAACCCCCTCCCCACCCTTCTCAAGAAAATCACCGACTTTCGAAAGCCTTTTTACTTCACCCCTTTGCCCAGGGCCAGGTACCTAACTGTTCCAGAGAGATGGCAGTCCTCTGGTTCTTTGGGACCGGGCTTCCACAGGTTCCCTCCCCAACCCCGTCCCAGGGTCTGACAGGGTAACTCTCTACAACCCACAGCCCCTCTTCCTGTCCTACGTGCCCCTGTGTACCTAGTCCTTGACTCCTGCTCCTTTTAGCCATAAAAAGGTGGGGACCGTTGGTGGAGGGTCGAGTGAAGGAAGGAAGGTGTGCAGGGAGGCGCCCCGCCCCACTCCACTCCACTCCACTCCACTCCACTCCACTCTACCCCGGGCATTTCCCTGGACTGGGCTGCCGGAAGGAGGCTTTGCGGGTGGGATTGGAAACTAATCAACCAGACTGCTCACCAGATAATCCGGCTGAATATTCACACCCAGCCCAGGCTGTGAGGCACCTCCCCCTGGCCAAGGGGAGCGGGCAGCACTTACTGTATGGCCCCTCCGCTCCGTTAACCAGGTGTCCCAAATGCAACCCCGCTAAGGATGGACGCGCGCTCCTCTCCACGTGGCACTGCGGCCGCTCCTGCGCTCTGGGCTCAGCGGGAGAGCCCGCTCTGCCTCCGGAGGCGCCTGCCGGGTGGCCTGGGGAGGGGTTGGGGAGGAGCAGGCGGCAATAGGCTAGGGGCGGGCACGTCCAGACCCAGCTGAGCCGAGATGGAATTAGCCTCCGGCGGAATAAGCCTGTCCAGCAGCGGGTGCTGGGTCTGCCTCTGGTCTGTCCCGAGTGCGGCGCAGTCCGTGTTCGGAGTCCTGTGTGCCAGCACCATGGCCACCCCTGGGCTGCAAGGTGAGTCTTCCTGCTGGGGACCCAGGTCCTGGGCAAGCTGTGGGACGGAGAGGGGCTGGGTGTGAAGAAGACCCATCCTAACGCCTGCCCTTCTGGATTGGTGACCTCAAGTGAACCTGGAGAGAGAGAGAGAGAGAGAGAGAGAGAGGGTGGTGGGTGAGGGGAGCTGATCCTTTTCCCTGTCAGGGTAGGGGAGCAGAAGGACGCCTGAGCAAGTTCTGTGGAGCAGAGAAAAGGTAGGGCAAGAAGCAGAGGATTGGAACTGGGGCTTTTTTGGGGTGATGGACTACTTGATTCCTACCTCTGCGAGCTTTCCTTTCCTTGTTACAAGTCGTTGGATGTGAAGTGTTGAGAGTAGGCAACCAACTAGCAGAGTTCAACTCAGAAACAGTCTGCGGAGGACAGAGGTTAGGATTCACCCCTGACCATTTTGACTTGGGCATCCTTGGCATGGCCCTCCAGTTTCAGGAAGTCTCCTCCAGCCCTTAACCAACCCGCCCTCAGGGAGGGCATTTGCATCTCGGGGTGCAGGGAAACCCAGGCACTTCTTTCCTCCTAAGGTTTTTTCTTAGAAGTAAAGCAAACTGAGATGGAGTTTGGGGGAAGGAGGATATTATCTGCCTCCACTCTGAAATGATACTGAGCAGACTGGTGTGCGAGGTCGGGATTGATGTGGCCTGGAACAGGGACTTTGTTGGCTGCCTTGTTTCTGGTGGTTCTTGAGAGAGACGAGGTGTGGGGAGGTGCCCATTCTGTTGAGATGAACAATAAGCTGAAGGGCCTGTAGTCACTCATAGTCATTTGTGACAGGCATGGAGAGATACCTCCAGGAACCACGTGGACCCTGGTCCAGGACAGAAGTCCCATTGAGCAACGTTAGTTCTAAATCAAAGGCAAGTGGCAGGTGGAGAGAAAAAATCTTAGACAAGGTTGAGGCCCTCCCAGAGGACTGTGATCCCCTGTAGTCTTCTACTTGCCTGGACTTTGTTCTTGGAACCAGGCATCAGAGCTCACGCCCACCTGTCTTTTCCCCTCCCCAGCTGCTGCGGGGGAGTGCCCATTTGCTCCTCTCGCTGTGTCTTGCCATGCACCCATCATTTTGGGAGCCAAGGACCCAATATGGCCTTTTCCAGCAACCTCCTCTGCTCTCTGAATTGCCTCTGTGTGGCAACCTGTGCCATTTCGCTAGCCGAATGAAGAGGCTGTGTGAGTGGTATGGTGGGTTCCAAACGCCAACCTCAGGTTCTGGTCCAGTTTCCATGCGTACCTTTCTCTGCCAACTTCCATTGTAGGGCAAGGCACACACCTGCCTGTCCAGACCTTACGTTCTCCATTCTTGGTACTCTAAGATGATGTTAGTGCTTTAGCAGCCACATGCACTATTGATGGATATAGGAAGGAGGAGATGGGGTCAAGCATGGACTTGTTCGGGCCACAGCAATGAAATTAGCCTGGTCCATATTTCTGGTATTTTAAGATGTAGTAGAAATCTTTCTTTGGCTCCTACTGACAACCTTGCAATTCCTCCAGAAACTTTAAGAAAATAATTTATTTTTCTCTGGCTGGCAACTCTCCATCTAAGTTAACTTCTGCTAAAATTGCTAAAGGATGCCAGTACCCAGGTAGCTTGTGTTAGATGCTTTCTATTTAGCAAACAATGAGAACAAAGCACATGACCATATATCTTTGGGTTTGCTCACTGACAAAAGACTAAATCCCACTTTTCCTTTCTTTCTTTAAAAAAAAAAATTATATTTTATTGATTTTTTACAGAGAGGAAGGTAGAGGGATAGAGAGAAACATCGATGAGAGAGAGACATCGATCAACTGCCTCTTGCATATCCCCTGTCCCCTTCACTGGGGATGTGCCTGCAACCAAGGTACATGCCCTTGACTGGAATTGAACCTGAGACCTCTCAGTCCGAAGGCTGATGCTCTATCCACTGAGCCAAACCGGTTTCGGCTAAATCCCACTTTTGCTGATGCCTATTAGTCATAAGCAAATTAAAATTAGCTTTACAAAAAATAAAAATGCACATTCATTATGAGGAAAATAAAATACAAATGCATAAAATAAAAAAAACTACTTGTTTTTAATATTTTGGTAATTATTATTTTCCCTAATTGCTTTTTAATCCATCATGATTTTTACTATATCAGATATTTTTATTTATTAGTCATCAAACATTTTGTAAGAAGAGAAAACTCAGATATAATAAAACTTAAAACAAGGATAAATGAACAATTGTCAAATAATGAAGGATTGGGAGCATATTATTATATCACAAGACCTAGACTAAGAATAGGTACTGTAATGGAGTAAAAATTTATCTATGAGCTCCCTGACAGGCAGGTCAGAGAAGAGACAATAAGTTACAGGAATCTCATTGTCTAATAAAAGGAGACTAGTTAATCAACATTAAATTTTAAGAAGAATGTCACAGTGATATTTGTGATATTTATGTAAGACGTTGCCCAACATAATGAGCTATAGTTTTATTAATTAATTTATTAATTAATCTGGTTTTTAGAAAGTATATTATTTATCACATGGGCATTTATTATATTGTAAAGGGTGTTTCTGTTGTATTCTTTTCTGGTTCGTTCTGCCCTATTATATATTTTTTAAATGCTGTGTGCAAACTATTAGATAACCAATTAACAAGTTAAACCTCTAATTTGAGAAGTAGTGGCTTACAACATATAGAAAACCCAATGGCTAATAGTCCTTTTGAACCAGTGGCTCTCAATCTCTTTTTCCTCCCCTATGAAAAAAGGGATATCAGTCACTCCCATCAGGACCAGTTCTTATTCAAATTTCCCTGTTATCATTTCTCTTTAGCCTGAAGAATGCCCTTTAGCATTTCTTGCAGTGTTCTACTGCTACCAGATTCTTTCAGTTTTCATTTTGGTGAAAAATATCTTTATTTCACCCTCATTTTTGAATGATAATTTCATTGGATGGATGCAGAATAATGGGTTGATAGTTATTTTTTTCCTTTTAGCATTCTAGGTGTCACCTTATTGGTCTTTATTTTCTGACTAGAGGCTTGGTGCACGAAATTTGTGCAAGGGGGGGCGTGTCCCTCAGCCCAGCCTGCACCCTCTCCAATCTGGGACCCCTCGAGGGATGTCTGACTGCCCCCTAAATGAGCAGTTGGACATCCCTCTCACAATCCAGGAGTGCTGGCTCCCAACTACTCACCTGCCTGCCTTCCTGATTGCCCCTAGCTGCTTCTTCCTGCCAACCTGATCACCCCCTAACCACTACCCTGCCAGCCTGATTGATGCCTAACTGCTCCCCTGCCAGCCTGTTTGCCCCTAACTGCCCTCTCCTTCAGGCCTGGTCACCCCTAACTGCCCTCCCCTGTAGACCTGGGTCCCTCCCAACTTCCCTTCCCTGCAGGCCTGGTCGCCCCCAACTTCCTTCCTCTGCTGGCTTGGTCACCCTGAAGGCTTGCTTGCCCCCAAATGCCCTTCCTTGCAGGCCTGATCCCTCCCAACTGTCCTCCCCTGCTGGCCATCTTGAGGTGGCCATCTTGTATCCACATGGGAGCAGGATCTTTGACCACATGGGGGCAGCCATCTTGTGTGTTGAAGTGATGGTCAATCTGCATATTACTCTTTTATTAGATAGGATAGAGGCCTGGTGCATGGGGGGAGTGGCTGGCTTGCCCTGAAGGGTGTCCCGGATCAGGGTGGGGGTTCCCTTGGGACACGGGGAGGCCAGAGCAAGGGGCCTGTGGTGGTTTTCAAGCTGGCCATGCCCCCTGGCGACCCAAGTGGAGGCCCTGGTATCTGGGGTTTATTTATCTCTACAATTGAAACTTTGTAGCCTGGAGCAGAGCCAAGCCTTCTGCTCGCTCGTGGAGGCAGCCATTTATGTTGTGACTTATAAATGAAACTTTGTAGCCTTAAGTGGAGACCTGGGCCGGCCAGGGTGTGTGGAAAGCTTGGTTTTCTCCATCACCAGGGAAACCCAAGCCTCCTGCTCTTTCCAGCTCTGTGGCTGCATCCATTTCTGTTTGGATTTATGTATCTTCTATCATTGAAACTTTATACCCTTGAGTGAAAGCTTAAGCTGGTAAGGGCAGGTGGAAAGCTAGGCTTCCTCCATTGCTGGGGAAACCCAAGCCTCTCTCCTGCTCTCTATAGCCATAGCCATCTTGATTGGGCTTATTTGCATATTTGCTTCTGATTGGATAGTGGGAGTGGCTTGTGGGTATAGTGGATTGATGGTTAATTTGCATATTACTCTTTTATTAGATAGGATGAGGTCAGTCTTAATTTATACTTTTATTACATTCATTCTTTTTTTAAAAAAATATATTTTATTGATTTTGTACAGAGAGGAAGGGAGAGAGATAGTTAGAAACATCGATGAGAGAAAGTCATTGATCAGCTGCCTCTTGCACACCCCCTACTGGGGATATGCCTGCAACCAAGGTACATGCCCTTGACCGGAATCGAACCCAGGACCTTTCAGTCCCCAAGCCGATACTCTATCCATTGAGCCAAACCAGTTTCGGCTATATTCATTCTTTTATCCATATATAATACCATCTTAATCTGGTAACTTTCAAGATTTTATTTTTGGTTTTGAGCAGTTGAACTATTCTGTATGTATCTACCTGTGAATTTTCTTTGTATTTTTTCTTGCTCAGTTTTGCTGACCTTCTTGAATCTGGTAGTTTGTGTATTTTATCAAACTTAGGGATGATTTCAGTCACATTATTTTTCTGCTATATTTTCATTCTCTTCTATTTCTGGAACACCAATTACATATATGTTAGTCTGTTTGACATTGTCCCATTGGTTCCTGAGGCTCTGTTAATTGTTTTTTCAATCTTTAGTTCTCTATTCTCTAGATTAGATAATTTCTATTGATCTACCTTTACTTCATTGATCCTTTATCTGCCTTCTCCAGGTGCTGTTAAGCTCATTCAATGAATTTTTCTTTTTGGTTATTGGAATTTTCAGTTCTAGGAATTTCATTTAAA